AGTTAAATTGATTTTTTTTAAACTTTACTAACCATAATAGGAAAGAGAACATAGTTGAGTGATGAATGATACAACTTACCCATAAAAAGTGCCATGTTGTTTCAGTTCCGCTAAACTTTTAACGATGAGGTATCAAAACGAAACAAAAAGTAAATGTTATGTATGATTTTCAAATAAATGAAAGTTTAGGTACCATAATGGAACAAAAGTAATAATTTAAGTACTAAACATGTGATTTACCTTAAAAAATACTATTAACATATTTGATGAAGTACATAAATAGTCATCTGACTATTAAAAATTACAAAATGATCCATTGACTATAAGGTGTTCCTTTGTTGAGTCATGTGAATATTAAAAGTTATAAAATAGTCATCTGACTATTTATATGTTCCAAGCTCATACTTTTTAGTTAAAAAAATAGATTTCGTTTGAACTAGATGTTAATTTACTCACTGGGATATGATAAAATTTTATCTCATAAATGTTTGAACTGTGTTTTGTGGATTGAATATTTGTTTACATTATGTCGTCAAACTAGCGCTTGAAACATAATATCGTTGAGCTAGGGCTTGAAAGCAACGACGGTGCTAGTAAACATCATTAAAATATGATTTTATCATATTCTAGTCAACATGTTAACGTTTAGCTCAAAAAGTCATCAAATGACGAGTTTAGAACATATGAATAGTCTATGATTATTTTATAACTTTTAATATTCGGAATACATAACAAAATAACATCCTATAATCAAAAAATTATTTTATAACTTTTAATAATTAAAAACTTAATAAAATATAGTCATATAATCAGATATCATTTGTATACCTTCTCCTTGCCTGTTTTTCACTTGCAAAAATTAACAAATATAATATATATTGTACGTCGTTTAAATTAAAAAAAATAGGGAATATTCCAATAAAATGTCAATCGCAAACTAAATTCTTGAGCAAATTAAATAATGTTTTAGAAAGGTTGAATGAATGCACGACACCCGAAATGATGCAAGTCAATGGGAATCATCGGAAACGCGATTTTCATTTTTCTTTTTCAACAAGAATATGCGCTGTTCTTTATTCAATTTCCCTCTTCCAATCAAGATAATCGTTTCTTCTTTATAAATTCTTCTTTTTTCCCTCAAATTTGGAACTGGTTTTGTTTCTAGAATTTACCTTGAGATTTTGAACAATGTATCTTCCACCAGGACCAGGCATGTACTACAATTACCCTCCGCCCATGCTGGTCGACTGTTCCAGCTGCCGCACCCCTTTACAGCTCCCGCACGGCGCTCGATCCATCCGTTGCGCCATCTGCAAAGCCGTTACCAACATCGCCGACCCTCGATCCGTCCCTCCTCCCTCTCAGCAACCTGCTCCTTCCGTCCACGCTCCTCCTCTGCCTTCTTCTTCCCCTCCTTCCCCCTACAACCACGCGCCTCCCGGTGCCCCTCCCCACGCTCACGGTCGGAGAAGGGCGGTGATCTGTGGGATATCGTATAGATATTCAAGGCACGAGCTCAAGGGTTGCATTAACGACGCCAAGTGCATGCGTTACCTTCTCGTCAATAGATTTAAGTTTCCCAAAGATTCCATTCTCATGCTTACCGGTAATCTTTCTTTTCTTTTTTTTATTATTAAATTTCGTGTCTTTTGAACGAATTGGAATCAATTCGTTTGAGCAATATTTGAATGGGCAGTAAATTATAGGGTTTAAATATCGAATTTTGACCATAAAGGTGATAGCTACCTCAGAATCTTTCGTTTCTGTTCAAGGCATTTATTTTATGGTTTTGACTCAAGTTTTCTTATTTGTTAATGTGACTCTTACTCGAGTTTTCTTAATTGTGTATTAAAATTAAGTTATTAAAAGTGTTAACCTTTTTTCCCTTATGCAGAAGAAGAAACCGATCCCTACAGGCTTCCAACGAAGCATAATTTGAGGATGGCTTTATATTGGTTAGTACAAGGTTGTCAACCTGGTGATTCTCTGTTGTTTCACTACTCTGGTCATGGTTCAAATCAACGGAATTACAATGGTGATGAAGTTGACGGCTATGATGAGACCCTTTGTCCTTTGGATTTCGAAACTCAAGGGATGATTGTTGATGATGAGATAAATGCAACAATTGTTCGACCACTACCTCAGGGGGTTAAGCTTCATGCGATCATTGATGCTTGCCATAGTGGAACCGTGTTGGATTTACCATTCCTTTGTAGAATGAACAGGTTTGCTCTTCCGAACATACTTACGTACCATTAACATTTTAATTGAGATTCCATACTAGTTTTGTTAGAAACAGAATATCTATTCCATAGATGAGAAATTTAGTTTGCATGTCAGGAAGAAAAGTGTGTTTCATGTTACGCTTGTTAGATGAAGAGGGGGAAAAGGTGCTTGAAAGGCCTATTTATGGTTTAGTGTTGATCCATAAATTTCTCATACCCTTTGGCCTTTTAGTTTGTGGTTAACTAAGCTGTTTTATTATATACTTTAAAGATTGGAAGCTGATGCCTTGTCTTGATCCAGGGTAGGACAGTATGTATGGGAGGATCATCGTCCTGCATCAGGTTTATGGAAGGGAACAAGTGGTGGAGAAGTAGTCTCGTTCAGTGGTTGTGATGATGATCAAACCTCTGCTGATACATCTGTAAGATTCCTGAAAACTGATTGCATGTATAGAAACTTTAGTTCTGATGGCATTTTATATTTATAGACTAAAAAAGATGTTGTAATGCTTTGGAGAGCAGGCCCTATCAAAGATTACATCAACTGGTGCCATGACATTCTGCTTCATCCAAGCCATCGAGCGGGGGCATGGGGCTACATATGGGAGCATTCTCACTGCAATGCGCAATGCAATTCGAAGTGTGGGTGGAGGTGGTGGTGACCTTGTTGGTGGTGCTGTTACGTCCCTCGTCACCATGCTTTTGACAGGAGGTAGTACCACTGGACTTGGTGGTGGATTGAAGCAGGTAATATTTTGATGTTTAATTTAATTAATGAAAACCTTTTTGCTTCTCTGACTTAGCAGTTTATTTTCCATTCCTAAAAAACGAAGTGCTTTGATTGATTGTATACTAGGGCATCTCAAACATACCCAATGCTTTTAGCAACTAGGGTGATATGTGCATAAAAATGACTATGCAGATGCTTGTTGAAGCAACATATATCCTGCCAATTAACATTGTTTGGAACGAGCTTTGGTAAAATATCTGTTGTTAAAACAAAAGGAACTTTGATCTGATGGTCTCTCTACTGTTTTGTAATATCAAGTCTTTTAAGAAAGTTCATTTTAGAATATGGAATTTGGCATTGTGAGAAAAGGCTTATTCAAGTTTTCGAACCTGGAATATTACAGTGAAACAAAAGTGCAAATTTTATTTTGGCTTCCAGGAACAAGTTAAAATGAAGATTATATGTGTTACTAGTTTCTGACTTTTTGTATGTTTATTGGTCGACAGGAGCCCCAGCTGACTGCGTGCCAGATGTTTGATGTGTACACAAAACCTTTCGTCCTTTGATATTTCTTTTTTTTTTTTTTTTGAAAAAATAAACATTTTTATTGTGCTGTTGGTTAATTGAATTTGTTTATATCTCTGGAGAAGGGGTTGGATTTAATTTGTATTCTAAAAGTATATTGGTTAAGCAAGAATTTCCTGGGTTCTCCCATCATATTTACAACCTATGATTAATAAATACACGTCTCTCTATTTGTTCAACTAGTTGTTTTGTCTCACTTCTGGAACTGACCTTCCAATTAAAAGTGAATCAGAGATTTGCATAAAACATATTGGTGAAGTCATCATGCTCGATTTCTTAAATTTAGCGACATTTGAGTAATCTTTCATCTTGTTCTATGGTTTAGATTTTCGTTCTAAGAGTACATGTTGTTATATGGTTGATCACCAAAACTCATGAGACTAAAATTTTCAAATTCGACTCTAACTTGAAACTATGAATTGAAGGCTCATAAAAGCTCCAAATAAAAAAAAATCTTAAACTTAACTTGATTGAAACTTAAACATGAACCTAAAGCTCAAGTACATTAAAATATTATACTACATTTTAAAAAATAATAATATATAAATGTTAATTTTATTAATAATTATTTTTTAAAAATAAAATTTAACATATTATTTTTTTCGAGTTGCTCACGTTGTTTGAGTCAAGTATCAAATAACTCATTTCAGCTCGTTAAAAACTCGAGTCGAGCTCAAATTCGAGTCCATTCAAGTCAAATATTTATAAACTTTGACCGAGTTGATCTCGAATAGTTCACAGTTTGTCTCGTCTCATTTACAGTCACAACTTCCAATTCATTCTACGTTTGAGTTGTTCTGTTATTGAGATTGTCTAAGATGTTAATTCATGTTGGATCCATATTCTCGTTCAAGGAGTATAACATCTTATCAGAGCTTCTAACACTTGTACATAGAGTGTTTTTCTCTCTGCTCTTCAAACATTAATTTTAAGCTGTTGAATGTATCTTAAATCCAAATGGTGAAGTACCAAAAATCAATCAGATCAATTTTTGAAGCTAAAAGAATTGATCTTACATAATTGCATTGAATATTTCCAAGAAATAACAACAATAATATCGAAACGTGGCCAAGAAGAAAAAATCCCCCATGTGCAGTGACTTCAAACTTCTTCTCTAAGCAAAAATACAAAACTGAAAAGATCTCATATTCTACTAGAACCAAAAGTATGTGCAATTTTAACCCTTATCCCATTTTTAATAGGTCGTGATAATTAGTAGTAGTTTAGTACGAAGGGAGTTGGAAATTTTAAAGTGCAAAAAAAAAGCCAATATTTTTGTTATAAGGGATAATCCTAAGGATCGAACCGAGGAAATAGGGTCAAACATACCGTAAATCCTTGGCAATTAGACGACATGCAATGCAATACCAATAATTTTAACTACACTGCATTATCTATGTGTCATTTTAAACGTGAAATTTTGCATTAACTATAAAACATCTAGCATTCATGAATCAATTGTTTCCGCCACTGTAAACCAGGTGAAATCCATTAAGATTATTTCATATTGGGTAAATGTGCAAACATAGAAATAGAAGGAAAGGACAACATACTCAGAACAATATCTGGATCCATGAGATAAATCTATGCATCAATGTGGCAGGTTTAAGAAGAGAAATCCGATAAACAACTAATCAACAAACGTAATGGCAAATGATACTAGCCTGTGAGGGCAGAGTTGAGTGCACTATGCACATCAACTCCAATTTGGGCTTCAGCTTTCTCCAAGTCGGTTGTGGCAGAGCTTAGCTTCGAGGTGAACTCTGCAAGCCCTTTCTGAACAAGATTTGCATCAAGTCGATCAAGTGGCACGGCCTCCACAGCTATTATATCTGCAAAGGAGTTGGCATGGATAAAAAGGAAACCACTACTGACGAAATACTTTGTCACTTCATTTCCTTCGTGCACTGATAAAACTCCGGGTTTCAGTTCTGCAATTGTTGCTACATGTCCAGGTAGAACACCCATCTGCCCAGTTGTGGCTGGTACTATAACCATGTCAACCTGGAAAACCGAGAATTTATTAGGCAATAATCCAGCTAATTTGCAAGAGTTTGTCTATGAGTTTAGCCATTACTTTCCTTCATATATTCACAGTTTTTCTAGCTCAAGTTTTAGACCATGCTTATGGAAAAGGCACCATGAAGATCTGCCTTTCTATTTCTATTTTCATAGGCTTAACGTTTCATGGAAAGACCTATCATCTCCCCGCCAAACCCACACCAAAACCAAAAAAAGAGTAGAACATAAATAACACCATACCTCATACCTCTCTGTTTCCATTTTAGTTATCTCTCAAGTGGTCTCGTGGGTCAGGGGCATTACACCACTGAGTTGTTAATTCATTATTTCACCTTTGCTCAAACTTGACAAAACAGCAATAAGAATAATCACCTAATTCTATGTTCGAAAAGGAAGTATATATAGTATATACAAAAAGAAAATTAATAATAAATTTTGTTTCTTGAGTGACTGAAGTTCAGAAGTAGGGCTAGATATGACCAGATTTACTTTTTGAGAATAATATTCATTAGTGGGCTGTGGTGTTGGAACCTATTGAAAGGAATAAAGATGGAATGGAAGAAAAATGTTTGGAATACTGAAATCAAAACACAGCAAGGATTAGCAAACTTGATCAAGTATATCAGCATTATCACAAAAATGAATGATAGATACACAGTTGTTCTGGTAGTTAGGAGCAATCCTTTAGAATTGCACTTCCCACCCTAACCAATCTATATTTATGTGATGAAATCAATTATCTTTGGTGCAACTTATGAAAGGTTCCATTCATTGAACAAAATTCAGAGCAAGGCAAATGCTTATGAAAATAATTTAAAAAAATTAGCTGACCTTATTCCCATATGTAATGGGGTAATGGTAATGGGAGGTAAGATAGTAGGCTGCCCCAAACGCCAGGTTGAGAGCAGCTTCCGTAGGAGACCTCCAAATTATGAAATGCCTCCCGTGGGACTCAATCCCACGACCCAAGGTTAAAAACCTTGTGCTCTACCAACTGAGTTTGATGGTCATTTCTTATGAAAATAATATAGTTATAGCATAATAAGGAATAGTGGAACAGAAAATGTGAACAGATAGGCTTTATCATTATCATAGAGTAACAGTAACTGAAATTCATCTGTTACTGTTTTCACTGAATTACTAGCAACACTCTGACTAAAAGCAAATCCGCCTTTCCAAACTCTAAATGGCAATGCTATACTACAATTGGGGTTGTCTTTTAGGGACTTCAATTTTCCTCAGAATCAGTAACCCGATGTAAAGATGCATTGGCATTGAACCCAAAAAACAACTAACATAAAGGTTTGAACGCCGCCTTTAATCAGAGAATATCATAAAATATTCATTTCCACACTCCTAATCCCAGAAAACAGAATCCAAAACAAATCGAAAATTTCCTAAAAATAAAACCCAAATCTACCTCTTTGGTGGCCAACTCAGAAGCATAAGGAAGGACAAAATTAACAGTGAGCTTGGAAGGAATGGAGGAAGGAGTAGGAGGACGAGGCTGCATGAAAGAGAGAGGAGTTTTGGGAGGGTCCATAATGGGGATCACTTTATTCCACGCCTCCGCGAACGTGGCATCAGCGGCCGGCAGATCAGTGGAGAAGGGTCGAGTCCTCGCCGCTAAAATGGGTCGACGGGCCAATAGTCTCGATGCTTGACGCAACATTGTCGGAGGGGTTTGGGGGTGATCGCTCGGCTCTCGCAGGGTCGGAGACGGGTTATGAGAAGAGGTCTTTTGGTCTCTTTCTTCGTATTTCTGATGTGAAAAAAAAAAATTTGTTGTGCAATAATCTCTTAGGTAAAATATCAGAACCGTTGCGTATCGACCGATCCCATAGTTGTTTTGGTAAACTACACAATTGGTCATTCTATTATTATTGTATTTCTGTTTTCATCATTAAACTTTTTTTATTTAATTGTTACTATTTAAAAAATTTAATAATTTTGATCATCGATCGGTAAATAATTAATGTGATTGCTTACATATTTTTTATTAGATGATAAAAAATTTATTTTATATTGATAACAAAAGATGAAGGATACTTTAATTTAAATACACACATGTTTGAGATGTTTTATAAATTACTCCTTCAACTTTGTTTTCAATTTGATTTGTGGACAAATTATTAATTTTGATCTATGATTTATTCTATAATCACTTTGACCTTCGAATGCGGCACTCTTAACTTGATTTATGTCAGAATTGAGTAAGCGATTTGATATTCATTATAAAAAAATTAATAAATTTAACCTTTCATTTATAAAACCTATCAATTTGATTTTTATGCACATCATCCTAAAATCCATATTTTTTCCCAATCAAATTTACGTGAAGATGGTATCCATGAAACATCCTAAAACCGATCTACAACATATAATGGGTCCAAGGTGACAATTAGGTCACTGAGATGACCACCAAATTAAAAAATTATTTGCAATTGATCATAATAACCAAATTTCGTTTCATAATATAAAAAATAAATAAGTAAAAGTATAAGAGTTTAGAAAATTTATACAAAATTGTACCTCTGAATATGATATAGTGTAAATCAAAATAATAATAGAGTATACATATCGAAAAGGTAGTACAACCAATAGGGTATCAAGGCTCCACAACATCAATAGGTACTACATATCTACTTTTTTATGAACTACTAGGGGTAAATAAACAGAGTATTTGGTGAATCGTTCTTATAATATTAATTTATATTCGTTTGTTAAGTTAAATAAATGAGTATAAAAATAATATTTATGTTCGTTTAATAAATAAACGAACATGAATAGAGGTGTTTTTCGTTTGTTTATGGTCACGAGCAAACTCTTTTATCGACTCGTTCGCTTTTGTTCATGAACAAATTCATTTAGAAGTTCATTTTACTTTTTATTTTTTTACATTTTAAATATTGGTGAACGTAGAGACTAAATGAACATATTTGCAAATATATAAGATTTTGAACTCAGTTGTTAAAGAAAAATAATATTATAATTTTAAACTCAATTTTTAAATTTTTTCCTAAATTAATAAAAAAAATAAAGTACTAATAACATGATTATATTTCAATTACCCTTAAAGAAAAGATACAAATTAACTTCAGTTAAATCATTGATGTATTTTAATTTTTGAATAATGTTAATAGTATTCCATCGTACTTTTCTTGTTATTATATATTTTTATTGCATTTATAGTAATTTATTTTCGAAATGGATATATGATTAAACGAATATATTAATGACAACATTAATCAGAAGGATTTTATTCTAATTGTCCTTAAATAGGGAGATTGAAAGTATCTTTTGAATTGATTAATGATTAATGGATTAGTATGATATTCCCTATCAGAAATTATTATATATACATGGTTCATCAAGTTATATGTAATTTTAGTTAATAAAATTTATTTATTTTAAAATAACTTTCAAATAATGACCACTTTTTATTTATATAAGAAATAAATAAAATTTCATTTTAGAAAATTTAGAAAAAAAAAGATGGATAGATTTTATTGACTAAGACTACAGATGATTTTGTGAACTAAGATCTGATGAACCGAATCATATGATAAAATTTTATTTCCTACGCATATAAATAAGCGCTTATGATGTCCAAAGTCCAACGTCAACAAAGATTTCCCAAGCAAGAAATGAAGCTAAGATCGTCTTCTTCCTTTGGCATCCCTCTCTTTCTCGCCTTCTTTATTTCCACTCTAACCTCCCATGACTTAACCACCACCAAAAACAACATTTCATACGCAGAACATGCAAGAAATGAGCACAGACCGATCCATCTCTCTCGGCTACAATTTCTGCGTAAACTCTCCAGAAGCAGCTCCCAACAGCCACAGAGCCAAACATCATCGCCAAATGGGCAATATATCGTTCATGCTGCTCCGTCGCAACTTAACAAAATTCGAGGTCTTACATAAGCAACTTTTGAACGACAAAAAGATGGAGACTCCCGTAAGAGGACGCGTGGAAACCTGCTTCCAACTTTATTCCCTTGCGATCTTTGATGCCAAAGAGGCCTTCCAAGATTACAATGCCAAGCGATACCATGATTCTAATACTCGCGTGAGTGCGGTCTCGAATGCCCCCGTGACTTGTGAAGATGGGTTCAAGGAAATACAAGGCTTGGTTTCCCCATTGATCAAGATGAATAACGTTACTTACCGGGTGTCTGCTATTTCGCTTGCCATTGTCACTATGTTTTCGCTTGAATGATGATTGAATCTGTTTGACATTTCTTTCATACGTTCAATTTCGATTTTAAATTTCTTTACATTTATATTGGAATAATTTTGATTAAATTCAATTATAAATCATTTCACATTCGAGTTATTTTAGATTCAACGTTTCCTTTTTTAAATTGGATTATTTTAAGTTAATATCATTCAAATTTTAATTTTTTACAATTGAATTACATTTTAGTTATGATAGATTTCAAACCAAAACCATGATTAAGAACGCAAGTATTCAAGATTGCAACACAAACAAATGAAGAGTAGCTAAAGCATGCCAATTCCATCTTCATATAGCTTCGGCAACAATAAACTAAAGCCTTCAAAATTCCATTTTTGGTATGTTTAGTAGCTTATGCAACCAGCCAATTTCTATGCTTTTATTACCGGCATCAATGGCAACAGTACCTACTAATCAACTACTTTAACCGTTAAACGTTGAGAATATATGAAGATAACGGCAAAAAACAGTTTATTGCGAGTTGAAGCGTTTGCAGATATTTGATGCAAAATCAAGTTGAGGTAGTAACCCACCAAAACAGACTCAAGATGGTCACTCTTAATCCATCCTCCTGTTGATGTTCAACATCTCATTCTTCTTCCTCAATGTAGTTTCAACTTTCAACCAGCCATTGCCATTACCATCTCCACGTTGTCGAAGCTATCCGACCCCGAATGCCATTTCTGATTTCTGATTCCTGTGAAACCCAACCCTCTGCTTCTCACTGCTGATGATGAAGGAGATGATCATGTGCTTTATCAGTAAAACTAAAGAGACGAAAAATCATTTAAGTGCACCCTCATTAATATGTCGAACTCTGTCGCGTTTATTAATTTCTGCTGCCCTTTTTTTTAAGCCTTGGAGTCGCCGCCATTAAGACGATAGGCCCACCATCAACTGCACAGCATTATGCCACCTCATTAATGCTGGTCCTCCCGGCCTAACCACCTTCAACTTCCAAGAAATTTACCCCCCTTGCTTTCAAGTACCATAAGAAGCTCACTCCTTAGATTGCGTTGTACAGTAGTAGTTTCTTTTTCCTGGAACTGGAAGAATACATCAGATATAGCTAAGATCAGCCGTATCCTATTGGTTTTGGTTCCAATTCATTCAAGTAACACAAAGAAAAAGTAACATTTTTTACGAATCGCAGCGCAAAAAAATGCAGAATAGCGTAATTGTTTTTGGCCAAATTCAAAACCTCGATTTGATAAAGTAAAACAAGCAAATAGTTTATTAACTTCACAAATCACAATATCTGCAGTGAAAATTGTCAACAGCTTACCGCACTTAGTACTTGTAATCGATTGTGCCCATATCAGCAAGCTTCCTGGACCTGTTCGGTTGCAAGCGGGGGCTTCATTGCCGGTCTACCATCGCCGGTAAATGACGTCCGGCGGAAACCCGCCCTTCTGGTTCCAGTGCCGGTTCGGACTCGCCCTCACCAACGGGCTAAAGCAAAAGGCCAGTCCCGATGAGTTCCCTGCCCCGCTCCTTGATCTCCTCGCCGCCTTCGGTGTCCTCTTCCACTGTGGGGAAGCCTCCGGCGAGATTCTAGATGGTAATCGATGACACTCGTCTCCCAAATCTGCTTCAATCGCGGGCGACATTCCCCGATCCGTGATCCTGGATGGTTTTGTATCCCCTGGACCGAATTGGGCAAATTCTTCTACACGAGTTGTCCTCGAAGATTGGTTCTTTTTTCGACGAACAGCAAAGATTGCCGAGAATAAAGACGGGGATGAGGAGGACGAGGACGGTTCATCAGACGAGTCCCGATGATAATGAACACTAGGATCCGAATTGAACTTCTCGGATCTCGATCTGAACAGATCCGAAAAAAGCGAGAACCTGTTTTTCTTTTTGAAAGACCTGGCCGCTTCAAAATCGCCGGTAGTAGCGGTGCCGTGGGTAGGCCCCACCAGGGGAGTGCTGTAGAATCGCTGGTGGTGGATCCAGTTGGCACCGCTGTCTTCAGATTTCCGTCGACTAACGTAAGGAGAAACAGACCGAGGGAAAATCAGCGGCGGTGGGTCAGATTTCCGAAGACTCTGGGCAGCGCGTGCTAATTGAGCTTGGGCGGCGAGGACCGCAAGAAGACGCTGCCGGAGACATGTGGCACAGACGCCGACGCTGCTGCTGAGGTCGGTTAAATGTTCCTTGCACCTCATTAACTTAAAAAAACTTTGCTCATATATATATATGTATTGAAAAAAAAACCCTTTGGTTTTTATGCGAGTATAAACAGAGTGTACGTAGTCATAGTATGAATGGTATGAGTCGAGTGGGTTTTATGGTGCTAAACGAAGAGACTGGATGAAGAAATAAAATGGAAAAGTGTGTCCTTTTCTTTTCCGGGTGTTGGAGAAGACGAAGTGCTTGGTGCTGGAGCTATTTGTTGGGTGCTTCTTATGTGGGATCTATCCCTATCTTCATTATGGTAGCTGTTGCCAAATGTACGGAGGGTCCTCTCCCAACTGCAATTTAGTTATTACCTGCTTCTAACTTCAATTTTTTCTACCGCTCTGCAGCTATTTGTATGAGCTGGAAATACCTTTCAATCTATTAAATTTTAATCAAATATTAAAAGTTTAAAGTTCATTTTAAGTTAGGTCAATTTCGAGTTTTGACCTTTTATTTAGGAGTTTCAGTTGACTTTTAAATTAGAAAATTCAATTATATTCTATTTATGTAAATAAGTTTAAATTGATTTCAGTGATAAAATAAAATATTATTCTTTCTCTTGAGTTTAATTGGGTTTGTGTTTCATCTTAATGTAGTTTTCATTCGTGCGGTCGCTAATTGTTCCTGCGCAATATTGTTTTTAATTTATGTGTTCGCCGGCTCATTACTACTAGTTAAGGAGCACATTAATTGCGAGAAAAGATTCGCATCCAAGTATCTATCTCTTAGGGGGTGTTTGGTTCAAGGAATGTGGAATTCCCATGGGATGGGAATCCCACATTCCCATGTTTGGTTGGCTGGGAATCTCATTCCCGGTAATGTTTTATTACCAATAGTAGATTTTTTGGGTATATTACCGGGAATGTCATTACCTCCCTTCCCTTAGGTATTGTAACATTACCGGCGTTTTGGACTAAAATGCCCTTAAATTTTTATTTTTTTTCAAAAATATCCTTCTTCTGTCATTTAATAATAAAAATTCTACGAAGGTTAAATTACAAATTTATCCTTAAATTATTTTAGATTTACAAAAAAAAATCTATAATTAAAATTTTATATGAAGTTTAGGGGTTAAATTTTTTTTACCCTTTCATTAAACATTTTTTATATTTTTAATTTTGTAAAAAAATTATATAAATATTATGAATTTAATTTTTTTAAAAAAATATATAAATATTTTACAATTTGTAATATTATACAAATATATAATAAGGACAATTTGGTCAAATATACATTCCAATAATCTTTTATTCCTTTGACCAAACACGGTAATCTTACATTCCTGCTAAACTAACCAAACACAAAATACAACATTCCCAGTAATCCTATTCCCTGGTAATCTTTTATTCCCACTGATAATCTTACATTCCGTGAATCAAACGCACCCTTAAGGTTGTGAGCAATCTACATCGACACTTGACCACCTTCTGACTCGCTTTTACCCTTCAACAAAAGGATGGTTTACTGACGAAATCTAGTACTCTAGCTAACATGACTTAAGTATAATGAACTCGTACTCGTATAACTCGTTAGTTTCAGATAAATGAAATGTAAAGGCATCAATATAAACCTAAGCTCTTTCTCTCACAGGTCATTGGGGAACCGGTTTACATTGTAGGCAACTCACTTGGAGGATTTGTTGCTCTATACGTTGCAGCTTGCAATCCTGAGTTAGTGAAGGGTGTTACACTACTTAATGCTACTCCTTTTTGGGGATTTTTTTCCAAATCCAGTAAAATCTCCGAGGCTTGCGAGGACGTTTTCATGGTCCGGAATGTTTCCTCTACCGGAAAATGTTAGGAAGCTGACAGAATTTGCGTAAGTTCTTTCTCCTTTTTATTTCACGATATGGCCTTCTCAGTTCTCACCATGTAAACTAACAGTTCACTTAAACCCATTGATGTCGCATACTACTTATTATCGTATTGCGGTTCCTACTTGGGAAAGAGATGAAGTGATTGTGCAGTTGTTTTCTTTCCTTTAAATCTCTTCTTGCTCGTTCTTAACTTCTTTTTCCACCTTTTGATTTCAGGTGGCAAAAAATAAGTGATCCTGAAAGAATTCAGGATGTACTTAGACTGGTTTATGCAGATCATTCTATAAACGTTGAAAAAGTCTTTTCTCGTATTCTCAAGACAACACAACACCCTGCTGCTGCTGCATCGTTTGCTTCAATTATGCTTGCTCCTCAAGGAGAGCTGTCTTTCAGGGAGGCTTTATCGAGGTGGGTGGTATGAATTTTTTTAACTTGTATAGCCAAAATTTCATGCCTTTTATGTGGAAAACATACGTATATGCTTTAAGTTATCAACTACGTTTTTTTTTGTTACTTTCAGGTGTCATATGAACGATGTGCCTATTTGACTCGTGTATGGAAAAGAAGACCCCTGGGTGAAGCCTATCTGGAGTTTTCAGGTAAAAAAGCAAGTTCCGGAGCCTCCGTACTACCAGATCAGCCCAGCCGGTCACTGCCCTCATGATGAAGTTCCTGAGGTATGTTATCACTCATAGGTTTCTGGGATCTTGTAGTATTGTAACTTGTTATTACGTTTATGATTGTAAGAAGAAACCGGTAAAGTATTGTAACTTGTAAGACAATACGGCTGCAAATGTTAATGAATCCGAGCTTAATTTTCTCATGCTCGTTATGTTATGTTGCGGCTTGCATACAGGTGGTGAATTATTTGCTACGAGGATGGATCAGAAACCTGGAATCGAAGGGTGCGGTTGCGTTGCCCATGCTCGATGACTCGGAAATGGGAAGCATTCAGAGTAGCATTAGGAAGGACTTGGAATTTGTGAGGGAAGGATAAATTTAATATTACGTTAATAAATTATAAGAAGATGTTTAAATTTTATCAAGTTTATTATTTTGTTAAGAAAACATCTAAATACAGCTAAGTAAGAGCAAACAAAAATAATTAATTATAAATATAATATGGAATTTGATTTTAAACAATAAATAAAAAGAATAAAGAATGATGTATTGTTTTATTGTTAAATTGAAATTGAAGAATATCAAGAGTTTGAAAATATTTGATAAATCGAAAAATGATATTTATAAATAAGAAAAAATATGATTAGATTTAATTCAAAAGTGAATGAATTTTTATTAAAAAATGAATAAATTAATGAGAAAAATAAAAGAAGTAAATGAGAATTTGAAAATTTTATTTAATTAAAAATATTAGGGGCATAGTTATAAAAATAGAAAGTAAGGACTGTAAATTTTAAAAGTAAAAGATAGAGTTATGAGAATAGTTGAGGCTAAATAGTCGGTAAATATATTATGGAACAAAGCTTACGCAATCCATGGCATAATTATTTCTTTGGGATTCCAGTTTGGCGGGATTCTTTCTTCATCAAACATTTGCCTCTCTTTCCAATCCATCTCATCTCATTTACATTTTTTTCCTGTGCCCAATGTTCTACTTTTGTCCTTCAAGCATTACAGTCATGAAATGATAAAAGTCTCGAGTCTTGAGGTTTGAGGTATATTACTTGGCGAAATTTGTCAAACTTTCCATTTCCAGTTTTGCAAGAACTCGCTTCAAGAATCGAGACGACGAGACCCAGAAAAAAAATCCAACTTTTCTTTAATGGGGTACCTTTCTTGCAAAGCAGAATCGGCAGTTTCTGTGATCTCCGCCTCCACAGCCACCCAGAATTCATCTTCGAAAGCAGCCGCCGACAAGCAAGAAAAACCCATCAAGATCCAACAGTTCGATTACTGTGACCTTGAAGCAGCCACCAATGGATTCTCCGACCAAAGACTTCTAGGTAAAGGTAGCCATGGCGCCGTCTACAAGGCTGTTCTCAGGGGACGCCACGTTGCCATCAAGAGACCGTCTTCGAGGAACCAAGAAACCAGTCCGGAAACCGATAACGAGATCGAAATCTTGTCGAAGATTCGGAGTCCCAGACTGGTTAATCTCCTTTGCTTCTCTAATGACGCTAAAGATCGGTTATTGGTTGTCGAATTCATGAGCAATGGCACATTATATGATGTTCTTCACTCCAATTCTTCAAGGCCTTTGAATTGGGGTCGAAGAATTCGATTGGCTTTGCAAGTTGCCAAAGCCTTAGAGACACTGCACTCACAAGAACCTCCGATTATCCACAGAGATGTTAAATCTGCAAATGTGTTAATCGATAGCAATTTCAATGCAAGGTTGGGTGATTTCGGGTTGGCACTGAGGTGTGTTGTTGATGATTATAGGCTTAGATCAACACCACCAGCTGGTACTATGGGGTATCTTGATCCATGTTATGTGACACCTGATAATTTGAGTACAAAAACTGATGTTTTCAGCTTTGGGATCTTGTTGTTAGAGATTATAAGTGGTAGAAAAGCTATCGATGTTGCGCATTCGCCGCCTTCTATCAATGACTGGGCGATTCCTCTCGTAAAGAAAGGGAATATTGTTGCTGTTTGTGATCCGAGGATTGCACCTCCCAAGGATCCTATAGTTAGGAAGCAGTTGGCCATCGTAGCAGCTAAATGTGTGAGGTCCTGTAGGGAGCGTCGGCCGACGATGAGTGAGGTGGTTAGTTGGTTAACCGGGTTGAGCAAATTGGTTCCTTTGCATACATGGAATGGTTTCAACAATCCTTGTATGATGGTGGAAACTATGGGGCGTCCGGTTGAATCTAGAAATGCTAAAGAGAGTTCGGATGCAGTTGATGGTACGTCTGCCACCAGGTACTCTCGCAGAGTCCATTCCGATTTAGGCTTTAGGAGAAACTTGATGGAACTTATGGACGTCATTACTATTGGTGAGGAGGTGGCTGATGCATCTTGTACCCGTAGATTCGATAACAAAAGATATGGTAACCAAGTGAGAGGTCAACAGAAGAATGTCGGAAACGAGAATTCTGTTTTCGGTTTGAGGAGGAATCATTCAGCCAGGGAAGGTCGTGAGCTCTTGTCGGGGAAAGGCGATGCTTTTTCTCGATCAAGTTCCACTTCTCAGGCTGTAGGTGACATTTAGTTCATTATGAAAAATGTTTTACATTGAAAT